GAAGAAAGGTACCTGAGGGCCATGGCAGGTGTGGCTCAGTGCTAGGGTTCACCCTACAGACTGAAGGGTCCCAGGTTCGATTCCCGGTCAGGCACATGCCCGGGTTGCAGGCTTGATCCCCAGTAGGGGGCGTGCACGAGGCAGCTGATGAATGAGTCATTATCGATGTTTCTATCTCTCTATCCCTCTCCCTTCCTCTCTGAAATCAATAAAAATACATTTTTAAAGACAATAATAATAAAATAAATAAAAACCAATGGAAAAATAGCCTCAGGTGAGGACTAACAAAAAAATTAACAAATAAAAATAAAAACATATGGAGGAAAAATATATATATTCTGCACCCCTTACGTGCCAGGCACTGTGGATGAACAGGAGAGGCCCTGTCTTCCTGGGGACCCATCTCAATGGACTCTGAGCCCTCCCACCCCGGAGGTCACCGCGGGTCCCACCGAGGCACTCTCCCTCTCACACCTCTGGGACCAGCAGGGTTTCCAGTTCCACAAGAAGCACAGCCTGACCCACTCCAGTGCCTGCCACACCAGAGCCTCGACAGCCCTAGAGGCAGCCAAAAGCACCGCTGCTGCCCGGACGGCGTGGCTCAGTGGTTGAGCGTCGACCTATAAATCAGGAGGTCCCAGGTTCGATTCCCGGTCAGGGCACATGCCCTGGGATGTGTGCCAGGCACCACTCAGAAACCTGCCCCCAACGTCACGGTTGGAAAGCGACCCATCCAGCCTGCAGGGAGACGGGTCCCAAGGAGATGGGTCACAGGTGCAGGGAGCCATCTCCCCAGCACAGAGGAAGGGAGTGGGCTCTGGGTATCAGCTCTCCCCTAGACTTGCAGAAGCAGAATGCTTCAGGGGAGAGGCATGGGAATATACACATTTTTTCAAGATACCTGGATGAGGGTGATGCTGAAAGTCTGCCTGAGGACCCCTGTGAAGGTGTAAAAATTGATGAATGGATGAGGGAGGGAATGAGGGGGACAGGAAGCGAGGAAAGAGATGCGGATGAATAGATGGATGGTGGATGGATGATGGAGAATGGGTGGGGGATGGGGGATGGACATATGGATGGATAATGGGTGATGGATGGTAGGTGATGAATGAATGGATAGATGGTGGGTCAATGGAAGGATAGATGATTGATGGATGGCTGGTGGATGGATAGATGATTGATGGATGGATGGATGGATGATGGATGGATGGATGGATGTATGGATGGTGGGTGAATGGAAGGATAGATGATGGGTGGACGGATGATTGATGGATGGATGGATGGATGGTGGGTGAATGGAAGGATAGATGATTGATGGATGGCTGGATGGAAGGATAGATGATTGATGGATGGCTGGTGGATGGATAGATGATTGATGGATGGCTGGTGGATGGATAGATGATGGATGGATGGATGGATGATGGATGGATGGATGGATGGATGGTGGGTGAATGGAAGGATAGATGATGGGTGGATGGATGGATGGTGGATGGATGAAAGGATGATGGATGGATGATGAATAGATGGTGGATAGATGATGGATGGTGGATGGATGGAAGAATGACACAATTTATGATAAGAATGAATATGACTGTGGTGTCCAGGGAGGAGACTGAAACTTTCTAGTGGTGAACATCAGTGGATGCTCCAGGCTCCTCCTGTGGGAATGAGCTGCCGATGGAGGAGAGCATGGGACCGGAAGCTGGTGTAAATCTGGAACGCGATGCTGAGCTGAAGCATCCGTGAAGAGGGCAATGGTTTGTGCACTACGTAAGCCGACGGGCATATTACTCCCAGCCTGAGGCGGGCGGTGGCCAGGGGATACCCCCATCCTTGCTGCTACCGAGGACCCAGCTGACAGTGGCACCGTCACACAGCTGGCAGGCTGGCGCCCTTCGGGTGCACAGAGGGCAGTGTAAACTGGTGCACGGCACCCTCTAGAGGAGCAAAGATGGAAGAGAAACTGGGGCAGCACACCATCTGTGTCTCCGGGGACAGCCACGTGCAGGGCCTGCTCAGAACAGGGAGAGATGGGCCCACAAGAACTGGAGGGTCGGGGGCAGGGGAAGGGCTTTGACGAACCCAAGGGTGGAAAAGCTCTTGGTCTTGGGATGGGGGTGGGGGGGTGGGCAGAGGCTACGGACGTCCTTCTGAGAACAGAACAGACATCTGCGTGAGTATGAGCAGAGTGTGTGTGTGTGTGTGTGTGTGTGTGTGTCTCAGAGACAGAGACAAAGGCAGACAGGGAGCCCATCCCTTTTCTGGCTCCTCAGCCTAATCTGCTTTTTCTGTTTGTCAGGTTTTCGTAAAAGGTCTGATGGGAAGCCCTAGCTGGTTTGGCTTAGTGGATAGAGCGTCGGCTTGCAGACCGAAGGGTCCCGGGTTCAATTCCGGTCAAGTACACATGCCCGGATTTCGGGCTCGATCCCCAGTAGAGGGCATGCGGGGAGGCAGCCAATCAATGATTCTCTCTCATCATTGATGTTTCTATCTCTCTCTCCCTCCCGCTTCCTCTCTGAAATCAATAAAAATATATTAAAAAAAAAAAAAAGGTCTGCCCTAACCAGTTTGGCTCAGTGGATAGAGCGTCGGCCTGCGGACTGAAGGGTCCCAGGTTTGATTCCAGTCAAGGGCATGTACCTTGGTTGCGGGCACATCCCCAGTAGGGGGTGTGCAGGAGGCAGCTGATCGATGTTTCTCTCGCATCGATGTTTCTAACTCTCTATCCCTCTCCCTTCCTCTCTGTAAAAAATCAATAAAATATATATATTTTTTAAAAAAGGTCTGGTAGAGGAATTAGCTTCAACTAATTCCAACTTATCTGCCTGCCTACTATGCACAAAGCACTGTGCCACACAGAACATAAGAAAGTGATCTCTGGCTGGACGGGAAAGTTCTGAGGTGCAATCCGGTGGGGGGTGGGGCGGGCTTGGAGGAGGGAAAGATCACATTTGCTTGGAGGGAGTGTCAGGAAAAAGAAGAGGTGGTATTTCACTCCGGGGACTGAAAAAAGTCCAGCTGTGGCTCCAACAGTCAGGGACAGGGGGGGGGAAGGGAGATCAGCATGCACCGTGGAAAAGAGGCAGGACAGTCCTAGCCAGTTTGGCTCAGTGGATAGAGCATCGGCCTGTGGACTCAAGGGTCCCAGGTTCGATTCTGGTCAAGGGCACATGCCGGGCTTTGGGCTCGATCCCCAGGAAGGGGTACGCAGGAGGCAGCCGATCAATGATTCTCTCATCATTGATGTTTCTATATACCTCTCTCTCCCTCTCCCTTCCTCTCTGAAATTAATAAAATATATTTTTAAAAAAGAGGCAGGTCAGTTAAGGGATGCCCAAGGGTCACAGAGCAGTCCAGTGGTGGCTGCAGCACTCGCATGAGGGGGCTGTGCTGGGGGCAGCGCACTCAGGCTGGGAAGCCCTGAAAGGAGGCTCTGCTGTGGTCCAGGTTCCGAGAGACCAGTCCCAGGGGGAACGGGAAGAAGGGGACAGATGCTAGCCCAGCCCTAGGACTTAT